ATATATATATATACAGTATATATGCAAACAAAAATAAAAATTATTACATGTATTGAAAATATAAATAAAATACTAATTATCAATAATAATGTAGTCATGGCCATATTTTTTTTTTTTGTTGTTTTTTGTTACAATTTTTAAAACAAATTTATTTGTAAATGAAAGCAGATAGGATGCTTAACAAATGTAATGTCATTTGCATTCTCTGTGTTGTGTATTTTAATCCATAGAAGCTCAACAAGTTCAAAATATCACCCACAAGCCACACAGTCATTTTTACAAATCTGTAACAAGATAAGGTAACAAAGACTCAGATCTTTTCTGCACTGCCTGGAAACTGCTTAAGTACACACATACACCTAATTGGGAATTACTGGAATAAATCCTCAACGGAGGATTCCGATGTCTGTAGGAATTCTACAAACTCTTCACTTCATGCTCAACTAATGTGGGAGGTGAGAACCAGTGGACAGGATTTTACATAATCATGCTGGTCGAATGCGTGCGTGTGTTATATGTTTCTTGCAACATAAATGACTTGTGTTGTGACTTATCCGTTCTTATTCGCATCAAAGCTACAAGAACAACTTCTATCCTCAAGGGTTCTTCCTAATAACTTCCAACTGCAAAAGAAAAAACTGCTTTACGTAATAGAGAGCATGTGTATACCCTTGCTGTCACAATTCATCACCAATGAGAATGAGAGAGACAGAGGAAAAAAGAAAGTGTGGACTAAAACGAATGACTCAAACTTATTGTTTCCAGTGCATTTTTTTCTGGTTCCTGTCTGCCTAGATACAGCACACAAACACAGACAGATCTGACGGGGGGAAATCATTCATCCTATCCAGAAAGTCCTCTGGGTAGAATCAGTTTTCAGAATGACTGTAACTTTTTAAGAACTCATTTGAGAAATATGCAAAAGTGGAATGGCAGAAATTGATCTTTATATGACTCATAACAAGTCATACAGGCATTTATTACAGAATACTTGATTCTGATTGGTCAAATGTGGTCAGATATTTTAATATAATGACTGCATTTCCTATATAGCTATGCTAGTTTCAGGTCATATCACTGTCAATGTCCACAATGTCCAATGTCCAATAAAAATAACAATGTCCACACAGCATGTTCAGATAATTTGCCAAAAAGAAACAGTCAATTCTGAGTGAAAGAGGTACAGATATAGTGTAGGAGAACTGATCTAATGTAGGCTGTATGTGCATCACCTTTTCTGGTTCATGAGGAGCTCTCTGTGTAGGTCCTGGTGATTTCTGGAGGACTTCACTGGGTTGAGGAGTTTCTTGGGCTTAATGAGTTCATCGCTATCACCGTCCATATAGTCTGGCTCTGCCATAATGCTCCGCGCACGGGACAGTCCCTCTGGTATGTCTGTCTGGTCCAGACCTGAGAAAAAGACATAAATACATCAATTTTAACATCTGTTACAACCTAAACAAAATGTGCTACATTTATCTTAGCAGTTACATTAAAATGTTTTTCCTTTTTCCTTTTATAAAAAAACAGCAACTGATCTGATGAATGAAGCAAAAACAACTTAACCAATTTTAAAATACCAATTTATAAACTCAATTCAGACATCAATAGTATACACACAGACAACAGTACTGACAAAAACATAAGATGTATCACAACAACATACAGATGAACAAATCAGTGTTTACTGACATAGAAATATGTGCAACTAACACAATTAGACACACTCCACAAAAACATTATGACAAATATTAGACAAATTTGGCGTTTAAAAAGCATAAGCCATATTTCCTAAAGTAATTGCATTTTAATGTCAAAAATAACAAATAATATAAAACTAAAATACTAAATAAAATAAAATAAGAAGCTAGCCCAAATCATAGGGTCAAAAACAGGAGACAAAATAACAGACTATTTTATAATATGTGCATATAATCACATTATGATCAGGGGAGACTACTCTCCAGGTAAAACCATTTCTTTCTTACAAATTTTCAAAATCATAACAATCATAGGATATAGCCATTCTTTTACAAACTTTTGCAAATTTCATTCACAAACTGGTCCAGCTGGGGCTCAACACTTCGCTGTGCAACTGGCTGTTGGACTTTCTGACTGGAAGACCTCAGGCAGTTCGGGTCGGCAGCAACACATCCAGCACCATCACACTGAACACTGGGGCCCCCCAAGGATGTGTGCTGAGCCCCCTCCTCTTCACTCTGCTGACCCACGACTGCACACCGTCACACAGCTCCAACCTCTTCATTAAGTTTGCGGATGACACGACTGTAGTGGGTCTCATTAGCAACAGAGATGAGACAAACTACAGGAGCGAGGTGAGCCGCCTGGCCGGGTGGTGCAGTGACAACAATCTCTCTCTGAATGTGGAGAAGACGAAGGAGATTGTTGTTGACTTCAGGAGAGTGCGCACTCAGCATGCTCCTCTGTCCGTCAATGGTGTGACTGTGGAGAGGGTGAGCAGCACCAAGTTCCTGGGTGTGCACATCACAGATAAGAATTGACAATAAAGCAGACTTGACTTGACTTGACTTTTAGTTTCACTGAAACTGTCATATCAGAGAATAAATCAAGCTCTCTTTCTCTGGTTTATCTTATCATTTATTCTGATATCATTAAACACATGATGAATGACAAACCCATGTGACTGTTATCTCACATGGTTATTTGTTTATAGCCGGATACTAGTCACTATTTTTAACCTAACAAACAAGCATGTATCATTCAGCACACAGCTCCATATCAGTTGAAAGGCTGATGAACTATATCTGAATAAACATGATCACAACAATTGATAAAAGTGTGACACATCCTGACAATGTGAAATACAAGCAAAAACCAACATACATTAAGTACATATAGGTCAACAGAGTATTTTTTCTTTAACTATTCTATTAATTACTAATAATATAAAATAATAAGTGCTACTCTGCTTTGCCTAAAACTGTATTTCCATGTTATTTCCCCTAAATATTACCCCCAAATCTCACCTGGAAGGACTGGAAACACGGGGTATCTGAACATGGTAGTCATCTCTGCGTTTGAGTGTTATTGAAAATCTCAGGATATGAAGCACAACTTCCCACAGCTAGATGAAACTGCAGCTCTGTATCTCTGACGGAGTGCTGCGCTGCGCTCTATAAACAGCTCTTTTGACTCCGCCTGATGGTTTATTACCTAACAGCCCACCCACTCCTGGCAGAACAGCTCTCAAACAGCCCGCTTAATCTTTTATCACCTGAGTCGTGATATAGACATCAAAGAGTGTGGTCATAAATACACATCAATAAAATGACAAAAACAGTCCCACCTCATATAGGATAAACTTTGAGATTAGAGCTACGTGATGGGGCGAGAGGAATGCATTCAATATTTTCAGGGCGATCATAAATTTGTGTGTTATTTTGTAACACGTTAAAGTGTGTATCATTTTCATAATCTTCTTATAACCTTCAAAACTGATTTAGAATGGATTGATTTAGAGTAAAGATGCAGGTTTTCAGCTCACAAGCAAAACCATTCATATGAAAGGTGACATGCTGCATTTATATCAAACCATCAAAGAATTACAATACCAATGCTGTGGTTTATTACAGAGTAAAAGACGTGCCACGTGAAATTTCCATAGACTGTAAAGGAAATTACACTTTGTAAGCTGCAGTTCATCTGCTGACCACTAGAGGTCATGCTCAGCAACAATGTGTGATACACAACAACTGGGTTATTCTTGACATGGCATATTTTAATTTTAAAGAACAACCATGAGGGCATTCCAAACATATCCTAATGCCTCAAGGGCAATTTATGTCACTGCTTGAAGTGTGTAGCACTTCTTCAAGCACAAAACCCAAACTCTTCATTGGCCATATGTTTGTAGACAGCCTGTTTAACTGTGGTCACTGCTTAAATACACATAAATGAGTTGCAACGAACGTGTTTTATTGCAATAACTTTAGTATTTCCCGTTCTGATATGTTTGCACATGCATGTGGTATATCACGTCAGTATTATTTATAACATTTCATTATGCATTCAGGAAGAACACCTTGGTGAAAGTGGACGGTGGTGCTGTCATTCTAATGCTGTGCGTCAAAGGCCACTGTTTAATGTTTGTATCTACACTCAGACTTTCTTTCTAGATTCAAAGGAAGAGTAGTTCCTGTTGACATCGCAATGTGTTGAAACGTTAAAGTTTCACAAAGTTCTAAAGAACAAGAAGTATAATTTCTCACGTCAACATGGTAGGCTACATTGATCTTATCTAGTTAAAGGGCCAGTTCACTTAAAAATAAAAATTCTGTCATCATTTACTCACCCAAGTTGTTCCAAACCTGTGATGTTCCTTCTGTTAAACAGAAAAGAAGATGTTTTGAAGAATGCTGTTAACTGTTACAGATGCTGGTCCCCATTAACTTCCATTGTATGGGAAAAACACTATGGAAGTCAATGGCTACCCGCAACAGGTTACCAACATTACCAATATCTTCTTATCTTCAGAAGAAAGAAACTCATACAGGTTTGGAACAACAAGAGGGTGAGCAAGCGATGACAGATTTTCATTTTCAAAAATGAAAATTCTGTCACAATACTTATTCACCCTCATGTTCTTCCAAACCTGTATGACTTTCTTTTTGTTGTGGTCTTTCTGGACACTCTTTTCAATATAATATAACTGAGGCTATGAATCTCCAAAATGACAAAAACCATAATTAAACTATTATAAAAGTAGTCCATATGACTAATGCACTACAGTTGAAGTCAAAAGTTTACATACATCTTGCAGAATCTGCTAAATGTTAATAATTTCACCAAAATAAGAGGGATCATACAAAATGCATGTTATTGTTTATTTAGTACTGACCTGAATAAGATATAAAAGATGTTTACATATAGTCCACAAGAGAAAATAATAGTTGAATTTATAAAAATTACCCCGTTCAAAAGTTTACCTGAATGATCCACAGCTGTGTTTTTTTGTTTAGTGATAGTTGTTCATGAGTCCCATGTTTGTCCTGAACAGTTAAACTGCCTGCTGTTCTTCAGAAAAATCCTTCAGGTCCCACAAATTCTTTGGTTTTCCAGCATTTTTGTGTATTTGAACCCTTTCCAA